AGGTGAAAACCTCAAGAGCCAGACTCTATGGCTGGTGTAAACCCTATCGAGGCCACAGGGGATATGCGTAGTTCAGCACCTTAAGGACCCACTGAGGGATGCGGGAGTGAACACAGACGTCAGCAGAGCCTCCCCTCTCCTTCCCTTCCTCTCCCTCCCCTTTCAGGTGGCTGGCCGGAAGGGCCCAGCCTATGTGGGGTAGTGGGAGAAATGAAAAGAAAACGGGCAAACATGGGAGAAGAAGAGCCCACGCTGGGAATCAAAGAGCTGGAAGAGTTCTGGAAATGGAGTATCTGGAGGGACAGTTGGTCAAGGGATGGTGCATTAGCATCCAAACTGTACTCAGAGGGACAAGGACAGTGGCGGGTCTGCTTACTTGGCCAAACTTTCTGAAAGGAATGGGGTGCCCGTGTGGGCACCCGGCCTGGGCTTTCCCACAGAAGGGGTGGCCTGGACCCTCGGGGCTCGGGCCCGCGCGCTACCGGCGGTAAGAACGCGCTGGGCGGAGGCGGGCGGGCAAGCGCCTTGGTGGCCCTTCCCCTACTTTCTAGCTTCTTCAGTTGGAGCAAGAGGTCTGTGCCCTGCGGGGGAACGAGCGTCCAACCCCTGAACCCAGGTCTAGGCCGGCAAGCGGACACTACGAAGGGGCGGGCGGCTCCCAGGGCAGCGCCGCCGTTCCGCGCTCCCGCCCCCGGGAGCCGGACGTGGCGCCTCCCCCGCGGCAGCCGGAGCCTGGAGGTGGGGTCGGGAGCCCGAGGCCGGGACTCTGATGTCACCGCGCGGCCGCGGGCGCCCAGGAGCGCGTCTCCGGTTGGAGCTCAGGTACTCGGTGAGGCCGCGGTGCCGGACGGCCGGGAGTGGGCGGCGGAAACGCCCTTCCCGGTGGTGGCAGAGCGAGCCCCACCGCTAGGAGCGGGTGGGGTAGCTGGGGCGCTGCGGAGCAGCCCGCGCGTCGTTGGGTCTGGAGGGGTTGGGCTCCGCGCGGAGTCTGGTTTGCGCGAGTCAAGGCCCTGCGCGCTTGGCCCCTTCGCAGAGGGGTGGGGGGCGCAGAGCCGGCAACAGCGGGAGCTGCTGGGGAGCGCGCCCGGGGGACCCGAGCACGCAGTGGGGTCTCACCCTGCAACCTCCGGCTCCCGCCTTTCGACCTCGCAGCCACTGGGGTATCCTGGCCTCTCCGGTCCACGATCGCGCGGTCCCCTCCGCGTGTTCTGAGCCCTTCTTCCCCGACGGTGAACCCAACCAACAGGAAAGGCCGAGAAATGCGCCGGCCAGGGGCCATCCGCTCTCCCAGCGTCCCCGAGGCCTCGCTCTCCAGCCGCACCGCGTGACTCTGTCGCCCCCTGTGGCCACCAGGCCTGCGCCTCTTTCCTCCCTGGAGCGCCTCGACTCAGCTTGAAGCCCCAGGTATGTGGTACTATCTCGACCGCGGCTTCCTCTCCCCAAGTGCCGCCAGCATCCCGCATTTCCTGACCGTGGCACAGAGCTAGAGTCTACGGAGACTCTACGTGTGGGCGGGAGCGAGCTGAGAGCAGACGCTTCGCGACGTGAGCTGTGGTGCTGACCAGCCGGGAGAATGGGGTGCCGGAGGGAACTGGGAGAGCCACGGAACTTACCGAAATGCCTGCCCTTCTAGACCTGGTCTGGAGTGGTGGAATTCAAGACACGGCCCAGGACCTAGAAACTCAGTCCGGCAGGGAGACTATCGTGCAGGCAGCGCGGCAGTCTCCCTGCCGGACCATCCAGGTGGGGTGGCCTGGACAACCTCTCCATAAGAGAGGTCAGACGTGAGGTGGCCTTTGGGAAAGATATGATTTAATTCCTGATCATTGTTGATCAGTTGAGGTTGTCTGCCTTTCTGGTCACCTTACCTGGATCTGTTTCCATTGCCTTTGTGTGATTTTACCCACTGGAACCTGTCTTCATGGATTTCCCCAAGAACCTCTAATTAAAAACCTGGGTCTGCTTTCTTGCCTGGTCCAACCTCTCTCCTGAGGTCCAGACACACATCTCAACTTACCACCTGCTTGCCAGACTTGCCACAAACACTACAGAGCCCACAGGCCCCAGACTGAGCACTGGATCCCTTGGCTAGTCCCCGTCTCAGCTTCCTCATTCCTGGGACCGGCACCTCCACCTCCCCAGCCCCTAGCTCTGAACACGGAAGTCATCCTTGTCTCCTTTTCCTCTCTTGCTCCTTGATTCAGGTGGTAAGTTTATCGCAAATGACCCCAATACCACATGACCCCAATCTGGTGGTTTTCTAGCAGGGATTCCACACTGCTCCCCCTACTCTGACGAGGCTTGGCAAAAGGTTCTTTGAGTTCTAGCCTCTGGACTTACATTCAATGCAGGCACTGGCTCTGCAGCCCAGCCCACAGCTGACACTAATGCTGATGCTAGGGCTCCTGGGGTGTGGCTACTCCCAGCCACAAGGACTGGCTGAACTGCAAGAGGCTCCCTGCAGCCAGACAAGTGTGAAAACTCTTTGCTCTTTGGGCTGAGGCCCCAAAACACACTAAAGGAGCTGGACCCTCCTGGCATAACAGGTTCTACAAAGGGCACAGTGTGAGCATCCTGCATGGGTATCAGGTGCTTGGGTTACCACTGCAAAAGCATCCTCGAGACAAGTTAAGGTCAATAAGAAAATGTACACACACTTTAGTTATCCATTTGAGCTGTTTTTATTTGGTGAACTCAGAATCCTTTATCAGTCAGTAACTCACAGATAAGATAGAATTGTCAAGGTCTTTTTTGAGGAAACATCTTTGTATTAGAACAGTTACCCATGCCTATAGATGCAGCGAAAGTCAAGAATGGGTGGCATGAGCCAGGGTAAACAGTGCTCCCAAGCTGGGCTCAGAAGGATAGGAAGAGAGAGAGCTACTGTCTGGGTGGCTAGGGGGGGTTACCAAGAGGAGGTGACTGTCCTCCCAGGGGCTGCTACTCAGAGTAGCTTCTTGTCTTTCTGAAGTTCAGGGAGTATAAACTACTTTGCAAAAATGGTCCCCAAGCCTGAGTGAAGACTAACCTGCAGGGCTGGCCTTAATGGGCACAAAGATGCCTCCAGGTGGGTGATGTCAAGATGTTCTGGTACCAGGTCAGCAGAGATCCCCTCCTGGGAATGTTGGAGGTACCGCTTTGCCCTTTTAGGAAATATCATATCCTCCCACCACTAACCTCCCTACCTGCCCTATCCAGCAATCTGTAGCATCTGGGGTCTCAGGGAATGGGGTAGAGGGTGATCCTGAGCTCCAAAAAGTGTCTAGAGGCTCACATAAGTCTGTTTTTCAGTTTCCACCCAACTGTGGGCCACCCCCCTCTGCAATCCCAACCAAGCATCTCAGGAAATGCAAGTCCGCCCCCCACCCCACCCCCAAAGTCCCTGTAGCCCATAGGGAGCCTTCAGTTCCCAAGACTCAAAGCTGCTTTCACCCCTGACCCAGGCACACCTACCTAGCTCCTCCCCTTGCTCCCCCTCCTGCCAC